GGACAGGGTGTTTCAAGTGCAGGGTACGAAGACGGAAGTGTAAGTCAACGATCTGTGTAAATGTCATAGTGGGCACTCACTGATTCTACCTTAGGCGATGAAGGGAAACCTTCGTGTCAACGTTGCGTTGATGGAGGGTTCGAGTGCCAATATGGAACCAAGCTGTCGTTTCTTCAAAAGAATGCGAAGACGTCTTCGGGTCCCCGTAACGCAAAACAATCGTATGCTAAGCTGAGGGTATGTTGATCAAGGACTTCAATTGATCCATGTCTACTAACATAAGAATTAGTTTGTTGTGCCAGAAACAGCAACAAAGTCTGGTATACATGCACATCATAACGAATCCACCTTGAGCGAGGCTGAGAAGACAGAGTGTTCATCTATAGAGGTAGATACAACTGTTGCTACACGCAAGATTCAACAAACAACCCCACCCGAGCCGCCTGCTCTGCTTCCGTCGCCAGCGATAATCAGTCCCAGCATCGAAACTTATGTCACATCTCCTCAAGCCCCTTCTCATAGTCTACAAGACTCTGTAGACTTCAATCTCGTCATTTCACCCTCCAATGCAGCGTATGAAACTGCCCTCGACGGACTCCTCGCTCTTGGTAACGACCACTATGTATCCCCTTCAGCACCTACAGTGTCTCAAACTGGCACCAATGGGGGACTGTTTGGACAACTTCCACAGAATGTGCAACTCGAAGTGAGAGACCAGCCTCGTGAATATGCTTTCCCCAATTGTCTTCATATGCCACAGGATCGTGCTGTTGAGCTACTACGACATTACAGATACAATATTGCGCCTTGGGTGAAGTTGTCCCCTCTTGTCTCTAGGAGCAATCTAACACATCTCACAGCTTGATATCAGCGATCCTGACCAGACATTTGGGTTGTTTGTCCCACGCGTTGCTATGGACTCTATTTCTGTTCTCGACTCTGTCCTCTCCCTTGCTTTGGAAACTCTTGGAGATGGTATCCAGCTCGATCTAAATGAGCAGCCCTTATTACCTCATACAAGCACTTCCAGCATCGAAATTCTTTGCCGCGTCCTGGTCTTTACCTTTACCACCCTCCGCCGACAGTTCGCCACACAGCCAACCTCTTGGTTAAGCCCATCAAAGAGTACAGGCTATGAGACAATCAACTCAACTCCTTTCCAATTACATCACCCCGCCGCCGCGCTAGCTGTGTCTTGGATGATCCTACGCCTGGGTTCGTTCATCTCATAAATTTGAAGGCAACTGCTCACTAGTTCAGGTGTTTCTGTCGGTCTTATGAACGGCTCTTCAGTCCCTATACCCTCCATCGTCTCTCGCGAAGTTTCTTCACCTATGGACATTCTGAGTAGAGAACCACACAGATGCGGGCGAGAGCCTGTTCTTTTGTGTGGCGAAGTCCTCAATTATTGCTTCGGGGGTGATATTCAGGCTGATCCTGACACAATCCGCCTTCCGGCCGCCCACAGATGGAAAGGATTTTCTGAAGCTCTTCATAAGTGGTACTCAAACCGCCCCCCAGACTTCAAACCCATGCTCGAGACTGAGGACGGCGAACAACTCTTCCCTCTGGTGCTCTTTACCAATGGGGCAGCAATCTTGGCAAACCAGCTGTACCATACGTCGATGCTGTTGCTTCTACTGAATCGGCCACGTACCCTCCCGAAGGAGCATGGCCGAAACATCTATTTGTCACCGCTATGGCATGCTCAGCGAATCTGTGGTATCAGCCTGAATAATGACACGCGGACCAACTGGGACTTCAGCTTGCTGGCGTCTTTTTATTTTGCTGCTAAGCGGATGACCTATGAGCCCCAGCAGCACGCTATTCTGCGTGGAATTGACCGCATTGGGTCGTTGACAGGATGGAACGTAAACTCATTATCAGCGCAACTCATGCATGAGTGGCAACCAGACTGAGAACGCCGGGTGTTTGAGGAGGCTTCGTCTTTATGTATTTGTGCTTTTAAGCTTGAGGAACGGTGTATCCAGTGGTCATGATTTTAGCTGTCAGTTCTACATGTCGTTAGAGAATAGAGTATTGTTGGATTTCTGTGTACATGATTTCAATGACTGGGTACGCAGGTGGCATATACTTAACAGTCACGAAGCCTATGGTTTGGCTCGCCTTGGGTGCTTCAGAAAATGCATAAATGGGGCCTTATAGAAATCGATATATGTACCATGGCGAACAGTTAGAGGTTTGAATGATTGTTGACGACGTCCAGAACAGGCAATTTTAAGCCCTCCACTAGGTAACCTTTGGGTGGAGAAGTGGGGAGAAGATAATCTCGAAGCCTGTAATGTCCTGTAGAGCAGAGTACCATTTGCTACACGGACAATGTTGTATGCGAGTAAAACCGGGGTGGAATGAGACAGAGATGGCCTTTCTTTTCTCACTCGATACCTTTGTCACTACTTCTTCGTTCCACAGTCCTCCCTGAATCTTTCTTCTCCTTAAACTATTCTTCTCGCTTCGTCCCATCACCATGTGTTCGCTGACAGCCTCACAACCCCTCACCCATGATGTAGCACCGATTGTTGATGAGCTCAAGGTCATGCTCAACGGCTATTCTAGCGATACGCAAACTCTCAAGGCTCCCCTACCGAACCCATCATTGCAGGTCACGGCAGATCACAACTTGAAAAGAGTCGACGCGCCTGTGTATGCACCCAAGCCTGGCGAGGTTCTTGTTCACATCAAGGCCACCGGTATTTGCGGGTGAGATATGGAGTTGTCAGTAGCAAAAGATTGGTCGCTGATTATGCGGACAGTTCTGATGTTCATTTTTGGAAAACAGGATGTATAGGTTCCCTTGTATTTGAGGGTGATTGCATCATTGGACATGAGGCCGCTGGTGTTGTGATTCGTGTTGGTGAGGAGGTTGCAGATCTCCAACCAGGTAAGCAAAAAAATGAGGAGAATGGAGTATTGTTACTTATGCCAATGTCTAGGCGACCGGGTGGCTGTTGAGCCTGGTGTTTCTTGCGGTCATTGCTTTCTGTGTAAAGACGGCCGATACAATCTCTGTGAAGATGTGCAGTTCTCCGGGGTATACCCTTATGCAGGAACTCTGCAGCGATACAAGGTTCATCCTGCCAAATGGCTTCATAAGTATGACAAAGTGGAGTTTGAAAGGACGGAAGCATTGAGGAACTAATGGCTCTCAGACTTCCCGATAGTGTCTCCTTCGCCGAGGGCGCCCTTCTCGAGCCCCTGAGCGTCGTCCTCCACGGCATAAACTCCGCCCCGATCACACTCGGAACGCCTGCTGTGATCTGTGGTGCTGGCCCTATTGGCCTTCTTGCCCTCGCCGCCGCGCGAGCTTCTGGGGCCCATCCCCTGGTCATCACCGATGTTGAACCCAAACGACTGGCTTTTGCAAAGGAGTTCGTTCCCACCGCTATTACGTATCAGGTTGACATTAGCAAGAGTAACGAGCAGAATGGGAAGTCTGTGAGGAATCTGTTCGGTGAAACAGAGTATGTTCAGCCTAGGGTTGTGTTTGAATGTACCGGTATCGAAAGCAGTGTATGCTCCGCTGCGTATATGGTACGTCGTGGGGGTGTTCTCATGGTTGTCGGTGTTGGCAGGTCGATTATGAACAACCTGCCTTTTATGCATTTGTCTCTTGCCGAGGTATGTAATCAAGACTGTTGGTGCCGAGGTGTGACACTGATGATAGTTTACAGATTCAACTTCGATTCATCAACAGATACAAGGACACCTGGCCAGCAGGTATTGCGTGTATTGAGGGGGGCTTGATAGATGTGAAGAAGTTGGTATCGCATGTTTTCCCTCTGGAACAGGCTCTGGAGGGTTTGTCTTTATCGGCAGACCCTAAGAATGGGTGCATCAAGGTGCAAATTGTGGATGAGACTGAGACAACGTACTTTTAAGAAAATCAGCGATGGGTTTTGGTCCAACAAGGCAATGTCATTCCTGTTCGTCTATAGTTGGTTTAGTAACTCAACTGCACCTCAAATAAGCCCACTACCTCGTCTTGATGCATTAGTATCCCTTCTAAATATACTAATATCCTCAAAGTACAAGCTCAAAACTTATGATCCTGCAACTTGGCTTTGATAAGTACTAGAAATTAAGATAGTATGGTGCAGCTACCCTATAAACTTGCAGTAGGCAGTAGGCAGTAGGTCCCGTCAATGGACCCCCGGCCGCGATACTGGGATCGTATTAGTAGAGTAACTACCTACCTACCTAGGCACCCGACTGAAACAATCCCATTGACCGCCACATCTTCAACGGCCTGGTCTTGTACAATAACAGTATACGTCTAGAAATTAAATTTCAGTCTTCTCTTCTACACTTAGTAGAATCCATATTCACGACTTGACGCTATAACGCTCACAGCCCAAGCCTTGCCGTCTTGGCTCCAGTGAGCATGCCATGCCCTGGCTGCCGAGCCCACTAAGCCTCAGCGATCCCGGCGCCAAGTTGGTGTGATGACGTCGCATCCAATTCTTCATCGTCAACCGGGGGCATCTGACATGGTAATTCGGCCTCTTACTCGTCGTTGCCTGGGCCAAATCTGGGGATGAGGGTGTCGACATGGAACAAGGCTGAGCGTTTTAGCTGCCAGCCCGCCTCCATACACATACTTGTGTAAATATATAGACCAGTACCTAGGTAGCTAAAGTTCTTTTGCTTCTTAGACCGTCAGCAGTCTTGTTGCATGTGAAGCACCTGCTCATCCTTCTTTACTTTTCGTCACGCGACAGTAGCTCATAACGTCAGTTGTCTTGCGTCCATACCTACTTACTCGGGCTCATACCTACTAGGTATCTAAGAGCCTGCCTGCCAACGAAAATACCAAGGTACAGTAGGTAGCTACCTACCTACTTAGGTAAACAAAGGACAGGCCAACATCTCGAGTCTCCCAACGTCAACCTACTATACCTACAACTTCCAATAACTACCCCCTATTTTGATCCTCGATGAATAACTACTAAAACCTCACATACATCCATAGCATCACCACTATGGGTGCAACTCAGTACTATCGCTCTCAGATTGGCGAAGAGTCCGTCATCGACTACTCTCATACCGACTTTCCCTTCAAGCTTCTCGCCAAGGACGTATACTATTTCTTTGTCTATGTATGGGCACTACCATGGGTCATCTGGCCCGTCTATCCCTTCAAATGCAAGGTTTTCGATGAGCTCTATCCGTCCCCTCAGAACGTGTTCTGCGTTGTCGTCCACCTGGTTCTCTTCTTCCTGCAGCTAGGGTTCATCATAGCCCTGCCATTCTCTATTGTGTTTCCAGTCTGGATGGCGGCAACAGGTATCGCTGGTTTCATGTTTACCAACTGGCTCATCTGTAAGCTTCTCAATGGTAGCAAGGAAACTTATACCTCGGATGAAAAGTATGCCAAGGATCGGCCTGAGCACGCACACGAACAATGGGTTTTCTTGAACGGCGTTGCTGTTGGGTATGATGATCTTGAACTAAAACATGGTATTGCCCACTGACAAGCTCCATAGAGAACATTGGATGCAGTCAAACTTGAACCGACTTGCACTGACTTTTGGCCGGCCTATTCTTGGCATTCATAACCAGACTCGCGGAATAATATTTGATGTCGTTGAATGTCTGATACAGCGCAATTTTGGCTACGCAACTGGGGATGTCAGAATTTGTTTCAGACTTCTCAAAGACATCCTCTATGATGAAAGCAAGTCCAAAGTCATCTTCGTGCTACACTCCCAAGGAGGAATCGAGGGGGGCCTGGTTCTCGATTGGTTGCTCCAGGAGCTGCCACAAGATCTAATGTCTAAACTCGAGGTCTATACCTTTGGGAACGCTGCCAATCACTTCAACAATCCCCATCGCCATCGGTCTTCGCAGATGCTGGCTCGTCTCAAGCCCCTATCTGCGATGAGCACTGTTCTTACTGAGTCCTCTTTCGACTCTCCTTCTAGCAGCCCACTCGAAGCTAAGGATGACCTGGCCCTAAAGGCTCGTAATCCGGTTAGGAAAGAATCCTCTGGTGTGTCGACTCGATCTATTTCCGCTGCCAAAGACAGGTGTATCTTGCACGTGGAGCACTATGCCAATAGTACAGATTTTGTTGCCATATGGGGCATACTGCATTTTGCAACAAACAGGATGGAATCGCGAGAACTCCCACGGTTTCAGGGGCGATTATTCTCTCGAGCAGACGGCCGCCACGGTGGCCACCAGATGAATCAGCATTACCTAAACGCCATGTTCCCTTTGAAGAAGGATGCTGAGACTGGAGAGTATGTGGGCGCTGATGAAGACAATGAGTTCATGAATGAGGCCATCAAGGTCGGCGAAGAAGGCAGCGCCTCTGCCAACGCGAGAGAAGCCTTCGAAATATCATGGGCTGGAACGCAGGGATTTGGATCTGGCGATGCTTCAACGCCAATTGAGGTTCATGGGATCTCAAACACAATCAAGGAGGCTAGTGATGATCACGGAATCCGTGTCAAGGATGTGAGCCGTTTGTGGAGTTACAGAAATGGTCGGAGTCCTGTAGAATTACCCCCAATGCTTGTCTCCGAGAACGGTGTGCCTAGAACAGCAACTCTATGAGCATGGGAGGGCAAAACATAACAAGATAAAGGAGATGAAGAAGAGCCGAAGCATTGAGAAGTGCCACAGCCAGTATACTTGTATGAACAACATACCCAAAGGTCAGTCATGATGGTATTGTTATTAGTTAAAAACACATCATTGTAACGTTGTCTTTCAAATCTACTTCTTATTTTTGATACATCATATAGTACATATTTGGCTACATCTGGGGCATTTTGTCCATGAAATTCTCCCGATCTCTTATCGTGATGTATCTGGTCGGGGATAACCAGGAGGTTGGCTATTTGTGTTCCGTCTTCTTCGGGTGGTGGTAGCCTGGCTTTCCAGAGCGTGAGTCGACTCGCTGATTTCTAATGGATAGACTGGTTGCGCATTTGCTGGCTGTAATCTTCCAAATTCAATAATGCGACCGTGGAACTGAATCCCTCCGGAACCTGATCTCACCATGTCCGCGCCATCCGCCTCCACCTCTGGTCTAGGGCTCGAGGTGATTTCCCTCCTAGAGGCCCCTTCAGCATTCCAGGGCCCTGATTGCCTCATCTGCCATGATTGATACCCCAAAGACGTATTGTCAGGACTATTTGTGATATGTCGTGGCGAGGGCTCTGTGGCTGTGGCCGATGGCACACGTCGTGCCCACCTGGGAACAGCAGGGTTACACGAGACAGGTTGATCTGATCTGGAGGAAGAGTTTCGTGACATGGGCTGAGAAGACTGACTTTCAGGTCCCGACGAGGGGGGCCGAAGGGTGCTGCTTGCAAGGCTATTTGGCAACGAAGATGACAAAACCTCTCCAGTAGACAGAGTACGACGATGACTAGATGCTGGTTGCTGATGATGAGATATAGGTCTGAGGCTGCTCACTGAGTGACTGGTGATAGGCAGGCCCAGTGCCCAGTGGTCAATATCTGCATCGAGAGATGTATCCGAATGACTTGCGCGTGGGCGGTCTGTTATGCGATTATGGGTGAGCCAGTCTGCGTTGGCAATCTCCATAGTTGGGATCGTGCCATCTCCTGAACCCATGAACGGGTTTTCTTCAGCACGCTCACGATTTATCTCTCGAAGCTGAGAGTCTGGTCGAGGAATAGCCCCCACGCTCTGGCCTCTGACTGTCGGCCTTATAACGCGCTCAGCAGGCTCAAAGAGTGGCCTCGATCGAGGGACATTTGGTTCCCTGATCAAAGTCCAACTCTCATTCAGGTCACGCTCAGACACCCTTGGGCTGTTGCCACTTGAACGTCTTTCTGCGGGCCGTTGCTGAGAGACCACGCTCCCCATTAAAGTATCGTCATCCTCATAGAACACCGGTACGGGCATTGTACTATCGTATGGGTATGGGGCATCGTTGTCTGCTTCCAGCGAAGGGAAACTAGTGCGCAAGTCCCAAGAGGCTTGCTTTTCTTCCTCGATGTTGTCGTCATCCGGAGTGGTAAATGAGCTTGACAGAGAAGCACTGTTGCTTTTCTCAAATACCGACACATAAGGTCCCCGAACCCATCTTCCTTCAGAGTCTGTGGTCATTGAGCGTGCCAAGGTGCGAATCTTGACCTGAATATCCTCGAACCGGCCTTGCAAGGCTTGCTCAACGGACATGAGTTCTAGACTCGGCCTATCGACCTCTTCGAGATGCTTCAAAATCCTTCGGCACTGGGTGGCGAACCTTCGATAGTCATCTGGAATGCCCATCTCCTTATTTTTCTTGGCACGGCTATCTCCCCGGTCGAAAGACTCGAGGAAAACAGCGGCAGCACGTTCAAGCCAAAAGTTGTACTGCCCGTCTTTCTTCAAGGCCTCAAGAAAGAAGCTTTGCACGATACCATGGATCTTGAGCACGTCGAGAGGCTCCATTGGTCTTGAACTAGGGATCGTTTCGCCGGGCGTGCTCACCGATGGGACATCTTCTATCTCGTCACGCTCGATGAGAGCAAACGCTATGAGAACGGTGAATGTCTTGTTGAGACTCCGCTTACCCATCGAGTCATGGGTACGCACAGGAGTGCGCTTATCAAGTGCTTTCAGGCCTATCACGTTAGCTTCGTTCCGGGAGTGATGAGGGCTGATAACATACCAAGTGACAGCATCTCGACCGGCACCCGTCCTCCCCAGAATGCGAGGAGATACATGAGGTTAAGCGCCGCTGTCTCCCCTCGTTCTTTAAGCTTTTCTCGCACAGCTTTGTAAGCCCCCAACCCGCCGGTACGGGGCCGCTTCTTGTAAGATCGAATGTACTTTGCCAGTGGCTCTTTGGTAGCTTTCATCTGACCAGCTGCGGTATGGATGGCTAGTGGCAGGCCTTCAACCAACCGAACTACTTCCAGAGCGCGGTCGAGATCGTCCTGGGTCCAGGGTTTCTTCTTGTCCATATCCTCGAGCAGCAACGTACGCGCATCATTGTCAGCCAGTGGTCCGAGTTCGAGTTTCTGGGGATTGTCAAAGTGATGGTCTCCTGCGATGGATGTGTCGGTAGACGTTAGGATCAGGCTTGAGTTTCTCGCATCGGGTATACAATTCTTCAGATTCGGGGTGTCACATAGAGCTCCATCTAGGATGAGGAGCCAGTTCTCCGATCGATCAAGCCAGTTTCGAACCAAAGGGATCACCTTGCTCGGATTCTGGAGGGTTGTCTCGTCCTGTATATCGATTTCTGTCTGAGATATGGCATGTTTGGCAATCCTCAAGAATCCATCTTCGAGATCTTCAGGAGTCTTTGTGCGTACCCAGAAGACGCCGCATGAGTAGTCATGACGATGCTTGAAAGCATATTCCCTGGCGAGATGCGTCTTTCCTCCTCCAGGAACTGACCATATGAGAACAGCTGAAGTACCTTGGTCTCTGCGCTGTCGGTCCATGAGCATGGCATGAAGATCCCCCAGCTCTTGCTGTCGACCTCTAAAGAGCGAGTTGGGGCGGAAGCGTTCTGGGTGAACAAAGATTGATTCATCTCTATTGAGTAGTGCCAAAGATGATCCTTCCAGGACTGGCTTCTTCACTCTGAACGATGATATATCTTGACTCAGCACAGGTGTCTGAGTCTGACTTGTGTAAGGCGACATAATCTCAGTTGCTCTTGTCATGGCACGGGCTCGTCTCTCGTCTTCTTCGGCAAGCCATCGTTCCTGGGTAGCAGATGGGGCCCTTTGAATCCACTGCTGTATAGTGATAGCAATGTTACGAAAGCCTGGGGAGTTGGCGCCATCGAACTTGCACATGTTGGAGTGCGATGCCTCTATCCCGTAGTAAGTGACACCAGGCAACTGAGGTCCAGCTGAGTTGGCGTCAACAATAAAAATTCTATAATAAAAGTTAGCTAGGTGACCACGCTTCCGAGGAGGCAAGGACGGCATACTTGTGGCCCTTGATATCGGTTTTCTGATTCTCGCGAACCATATGAATCTCAAAGCGCTGATATATATCCAAAAAGTGACTGTTGATGTTCGCCAAGGTTTCGTTGTCTTTCTTAAGAGTCTTCAAAAGCACCGACTCAGAGTCGAAAAACCTCTTGGGTATGACTGCATCGGACATGGCTTGAAGAATGAGACCCCAAGTAGCTGCATCTGAGCCAACATGGGGTGTTCCCAAGAAGACCAGGCCAAAGGTCGAAACGAAAATGGATCGGAAATGCTCAAGGTGAGGTTCGCGAACATCAGATGAGTAGAGGAGAGCTCGTTTGACGAGGATGCCCCCCAAGCTATGACATACCCAAATGATGGGGTTCTTGAATGTGCCTTCGCTTTGGCGATGGAGGGTCAGATTTGTTATGAGATTCTGCGCATGCTGGTGAATAAAGCTGTCGCTGGCTGTCTGATTGTTCCTTTTGGAATAGACGTCTGCATTATAGCCGTAGACCAGGATGTTAGCCTGTGCGCCTCTGAGTGAGACTGGTAATAGGTCCAGAGGCCAGAAAGTTCCATTCTTGGCCGTCCATGTCTTGTCGGGCGTTCCATTGAGCCCATGGACAAGAACAATGTCAACTTTGGCCTCTGGATGAGTGTATACCGCTGTTGTCTCGTAGCGGGCTACTGAACGGTTCTCGGACCCCTGTTTCGGCCACTGTCAGCCAACTGCCGCACGCTGTAAATGAGACTCGACAGGTTCGAGCAGTGAGACTCACCATGATGTGTCGTCGAAAATGGGGAAGCTCGATGGTCGTGGTGTCGTTCCAAACATTGGGGAATCCCTGAACAGAGCTAAGTCAAGCAAGCAAGCGAGCAACCTTGCTTGCAAGAAATGTGCGGCTGATCGGCGTATAAATGGCCGCTCGAATCAGAACGAGGCTGTCGACAATTGCGCTGCCTAACAAGTGACGAGTGTGAGCAATCATTTCCTCTCACCGAGGCTGTGAGTTGCAACCCTGTTATTCTATTTATCGCCGGGCTGAGTGAGACGCGCCATCTTCAACTATTGGGGGCCATCCCATCACAAGACTCATACCTAACTCCAGGTAGCAGTAGACATTGAAAGCTGAGTCAAATGGTGCGTGTCCGTGTCCGTGGCCGTGTCAGGGGCAGTGGCTGAGTTCTCGCCCAGCTGAAAGGTGCCTGTAGGGCTTTTTTTATCGCGTTGGCCGAATGGGTTTCAGCTAAGACCTTTTTTGTAGGGGCATTTCCGGGGGCCGCTATACAATTGGTAGGGGTGTTGGCGCGTTCTATACTGTTAACATGGATGTACAGAGTAGTGAGCATCATGGATAGATATTGCTAAAGGAATCCAAGCCACGAAAAGTATGGGTTTTGCGAAATTGAGATATGCCTCAAGCTTTGAGTAGCTCTAGAACTAAGTAGCTTTATATTATATAAATCAAGTAAAACTTTTATCGATCGTTTATTAGAATCCTAAGCTCTTAGGATTCATATCCGCCTTGAAAGGTAACATGGTCCTTGCGACCAGCATATGACTGGACACTCAAACCCTCCCGTCTTGAGCTTCAGGCCATGGCGGCTGGTAAAGACTACAGAGCTGCCCACCTTTTGCTGTAACTTAGGTATACCCTTGAA